AGTCCTGACTTTCCTTAACTGTAGGTTTGAGCAAATTAATATCTGGAACTCTTTCCCCTTTTGTAAAATGGAAATACAAACACCCAAGAGTTTGGTGCTGAGTAAATGAGCCCAAACGCGATCAGCTCCTGATGGTAATGATGTTGTATGAGATTTTGCTAGTGCTCTGACAAATAAAGCTTGCCTGGAGCTAGCCACTAATTAACCATAGAGGCCAGACAGGTGACACACACCTTTAATTCCAGCTCTTGGGAGGAGAAAGCAGGAAGATCAGGAGTTCAAGGCCACCCTGGGCTACACAAGATTGAACCAGTCTAATAAAGAAACAGAGCAGGGTGTTAGTGGTACACACCTTTAATCCCAGCACCTGGGATCTCATGCCTTTGATCCCTGCACTTGAGTGGCTCACACCATTAATCCCAGCACTTGGGAGGTGGAGATAGGAATATGAGGTAGATGGACACAGGATTTGGCCCCCATTCAGTCTAAGGATTTGTAAAGACAGGCTCCCCATTTGGTCTGAGACTTTGTAGAGATAAGAAGTCTCTAGTGGCTGACTGCTCTGCTTCTCTGATTTCCAGGCAAGCTTTATTTGTCAGAACAGAAACAAAATATCATACAACAAAATTCCCTTCCTCATAAAATGAAAAAAGAGCCTTCAGAGGCTAGAGGGCACCTCATAATTTCCACATAGATCACGTTATCTTTGCTTTACTGGTTGGAACATTTTCTTTAATCCACCTTTATAATCCTGCAGGATCGCCAAGGATCCACGATTTGACAGACTTCCATGCACACACAAAGGAACCTATGCTGATGACTGCTTGGTCCAGAGAGTCACTCAGGTACAGCATCACTTTTTAAATGTTTATTTTGTGCTTTAAAAAAAAAAAAAAACAACTGGGCAGTAATGGTACACACCTTTAATCCCAGCATCTGGGAGGCAGAGCAGGTGGATCTCTGTGACTTTGAGGCCAGCCTGATCTACAGAGTGAGTTTCAGGATAGCCAAAGTTACACAGAGAAACTTCTTGAAAAAACACAATGAAAAAGAAGAAAAAAGTGGCAAGCTGGAGCTGAAGAGGTGGTGTTTTAGTGGTCAAGAGCACTTGCTGCTCTTGCTGAGGATCCAGGTTCAGATACCAACACTTACATCAGGTGGCTCACAGCCTTCTGTAATTTCAGTTCTGATGCCCTCTCCTGGCCTCTGTAGACACCTGCACACATGTGGTGCATGCACATACACTATACACACACAAATAAATCAGGGTTTGTTTTTTGTTTTTTGTCTTTTTGATGAGAAAAAAAAAACACTAGCTGGGTGAGGTAGCACTTGTCTTTAATCCCAGCACTTAGAGGCAAAGACAGGTGAACCTCTGTAAGTTTTTTAAGTCCAACCTGGTCTACATAGCCAGCTATACAGTTAGAACTCCCCCCCCCAAAAAAGGGGAGCACAAATTATTACCTTCTGAACATTCAAGCTCAGTAAGGTATTTAGGGTAGGTTTTTCTTAATATACATATATATTATATAAATATAAGGTATTATATATTTATATAAGGATATAATATTACATATTATGTTTTATATATTATATCTTCATATATATAAAGCATAAATATACACACACACATATATATATATATATATATATTTAGCAGTTGTTCATAAGCAGCTTAGATACCATTTACTTGAAAAAGTAGATTTAAAAAAAACTGTGCTCTAACCATAAAGGGAGAAGTATGTGCTTGGGAAGGAAGTCTGGTTTCAAATGTCAGTATCTTGCCCATTGGAGGAAGAGGCAAACTGATCTCCATTCAAGGTTCAAGGCCAGCCTGATCTACATAGTGAGTTCTAGGCTACCCAGGACTACACAGTGAGATCCTGTCTTAAAACAAAAACAATTCCAACATCACATATAGCTTAATATGTGATTTGGGACAATAAGGGGGGGTCTTTATTCCACAAATCCCCTATAATGTGTTTTAAGTGGATTCATGTAGCTATAATAATATATCACATTCTACCACCATGTAAATCTTAAATAAGGTTCCATTTCCACCCCATGCAGGAATGATGTTCCTCCCCACCATACCTAACTCAGAAATGTTTTCTTAGTTAAGTCTGAGAATCTCCCAGGGTGCTATCTCTCACATACCCTGGATTAATTCCTTTTTGAATTCCTCCATTCTGAACTGCTCATCAAACAACACAGAACATCTGCTATTGATTGTTCACATAAGAACCTTTCTCAGGTTTGAGTTGTAGCTTGGTGATAGAGTGCTCCCGTGTATGCACCAGGCCCTAGATTTAATCTCCAACCACAGTGCTGAGAAAAAAAGAAAAGAAAAGAGCCAGGCCCTTGCAAAGGAAGGAATGAAGAGAGGAAGAGATTGGCCCTTGCTAAGGATGGCCATCTTCATTTAATGACCACTCTGCCCTTTAGCAAATCAATCCATAGATGGAACCATATCACAACTGCCAGCACAGTGGTAAAAGTTTTATAGAACTCAATGGAGATTTTTGTATATGAGGTAAACTATAACAAAATAGCTTCCAGCTGATAGTTAAATGTTAAACTAAACTGGGGTTTTGAATCTTAGAGATCCTTCTCCTAGCCCAGGAGGACCTGCCTACTTCTACCACTAAAGAACTTCAGAGTACCCCTAAGCTACAAGAGCAGAGGAAGGAAGATCTGTGCCCTCCATATACGTCATTTACATAGAGTCAGTCAGGGGGGTTTCCCAAAACTAAGGAACTGTCCACCTTAACTGTGGCAGTCCCTCCCATGTGTGGGACAGAAAGCAGTTTGCAGATGAAACACTTTTTTCTTCCTCTGAAGATTCATAACACCACACTGAGGTCAGGTAGCTTATATATTTTATTATATAAATATCTTATAGGTCTTAGTATCCTTTCTTCTGCTGGTTGCTGTGAAGGGGCTATTCAGTGGTTGTGTGTGTGTGTGTGCATATACTCTGTGAGTCCTGTGTAAACATTAGTGGGCTTCTCTTTCAGCACAAGTGTTATATTGTGGCCACAGTTGACCGGGACCTCAAACGAAGAATCCGAAAGATCCCTGGAGTTCCTATCATGTACATTTCTAACCACAGGTGAGAAGTTGCTATTGGAAAGGGATTATAGGCACATAGTTGGTCATCAATTAAAGTGAGAGCAGGTTATAAAGTTATAGAGGATTTCAAAGAAATTACACTAGCCTGTTTACATTTCAAGTTGAAGAAATGAGAGAAAATAGCATGAATAAGGGCAGAAGATAAAGATAGAATTTAGGAATGAAACAAACATCAAATTTGTACAATCAGATTATTAGAAGGTCATTATTGCTTTATACAAAGCATTACTTTAAGTCAAGCTCATCCCTTTTAGGTAGAATATCTTTTTTGTGAGATTTTTGCAGGGAGCTTAATCTTCAGCATGGATAAAACTGGGCATGGCAGAATACCTGTATTCCCAACACTGGGGAAATAGTGACCAGAAATCAAGATCATTCTTGCTACTCAGTACTTTTGAGGCCATCTCAGAGAGAGAGAATATTTGATTAACACCTCATCCGGGAAACTAAATGTTTGCTTTAATAAACAAAACAGTTCTTTATCCTTCTTGGATGTTCCCGTGCCTGCCCAATTAAAGATGTCTATGCCCAGCTTTTCCATTTGGGGAGAGCACAGTATATTGATAAAAATATGGGCTGACTTAAGCTCACCTGGACCCTAGTTTCCCCTTGTCAATGCTGTAGCTTTGAAGAACAAAGGTAATATAGTCAGCATTTTTGTATAAGTCATTCATTGTGGGGTCCCTCTAACGCAGTTACCACTGATAAGGTTTGAGTGTAAAGGATGGGGGGAACTCCGATGAGTTCAGAAGGGCTCTGTACCATACCTCCTTTCTTAACAGTGTCTACTTTCCTTCCTGATCAGGTACAACATTGAACGGATGCCAGATGATTATGGAGCTCCTCGGTTCTAATTCTTACTCGAACAAAATTTGCTTGCCTTTCTTTGACCAGCTTTCTCTGTTGTCAATTAATTAAACACACTTTTTGATGTTTTTTTAAATGACATTTTGTCTCAATTTAAAAAATAGCTACATCTTTTAAAAAATTGTATTTTTTTTTATGTGTATATGTATTTATGTGGGGGCCAGAGGCCTCAGATCCCCTGGAGCTGAAGTTACAGGTAGTTGTAACATGCCTGAGAACTGAATTGTCCTCTGGAAGAGCTCTTAACCGCTGAGCCAAACTGTGTCTTTTTATAAGTCACCTAACTGTAGTGACTGTTCTCACTGTTGTGACAAAAGTGACTTAGGGAAGGAAGGCTTTCTTTTGCTCCATGCTTTCTGGGTATAGTCTGTACAGACTGCACTGTGGCGGGAACATAGGGAGCAGAGAAGAAGCAGAGAGGTGAGTGCTTAGAGTCCAAAAGTATTTTGATTTATTTATTTTTTTAATTTAATTTTTGTGTTTTTGAGACAGGGTTTCTCTGCATAGCTCTGGCTGTCCTAGAACTCCCTCTGTAGACCAGGCTGACCTCGAACTCACAGAGGTCTGCCTGCCTCTGCCCACCCCACCCCACCCCAGTGCTGTGGGATTAAAGGTGTGTGCCACCACTGCCCGGCTTGCCTTTGTTTTCTTTAGTCAGCACATAACCTGTGGAAGGATGCCACTCAAGCTTTACCTTTTCACTTGTTAGCCTTTCTGGAAACATTTGACAGACATGCTTAGAGTTGACTTCTAGGCAATTCTAAATCCTGACAGGTTGACAGCCAAGAGTCACCATCAAAGTTCCACCACTTCCCAATGTCCCACAAGATGATGGCTATGTCTTTAACATCAAAATCATAACCTGAGCTATTAAAAATATCATGAAAATTTAATCTTAAATTTATTGAAGTCTTCTGCATCTAAGATGGCAATTACATGATTTTTCTCCTTTATGAACTATAGTAAATTGCACTTTTTATATTTTTCAAAAGAAAATGTTAAAAGTACAATTAACTGGGATTTTTGGGTATTATTAGTCTGGTTCTTATTTTATTTTTTACCATTGTACAAAAGCCAGCCATGGTGACACACATTTTTTAAAAAGAATTTATTTTTATTTTATGTGCATTAGTGTATGTATATCTGTGTGAGGGTGTTGGGTACCCTGGAACTGGAGTTACAGACAGTTGTAAGCTGGGAATTGAACCCAGGTCCTCTGAAAGAGCATTCAGTACTCTTAACCACTGAGCCATCTCTCCAGTCCTTGTGACACACATTTTTAATCTCAGTACTTGGTAGGAAAAGGCAGATGGATCTCTGAGTTTGAGGCCAGCGGGGCCTACATAGCAAGTTCCAGGCTAGCCAGGGCTACACAGTGAGAACCTATTTAAAAAACAAAACAAGAGACTGAAAAGTTGGCTCAGCAGTTAACTCTCATCTGGACTCTGCATGCATATGGTGTACAGACACACATCAGGCAATTTATGGTTTATAACAAAAATAAATATAATTTGGTTAAAAAAATCAATTTTTGTCTTAGAGTTTTGTTGCTGTGAAGCAACACTATAACCATGGCAACTCTTTTTTGTTGTTTTGGTTTAGTTCCCCGCCCCCGGCCGCCGCGGGCCCCCCACCCCCCCCACCCCACCCCCCACCCCCCACCCCCGACAGGGTTTCTCCATGTAGTTTTGGTGCCTGTCCTGGGTTTCACTCTGCAGACCAGGCTGGCCTTGAACTCACAGAGATCCATGTGGCTCTGCTTCCCGAGTGCTGGGATTAAAGGTGTGCCCCACCACCACCTGGCCCATGGCAACTCTTATATGGAAAACATTTAATTGGGGCTGGCTTAACGTTTCAGAAGTTTAGTCCATTATTGTCATGGTGAGAAGCATGGCAGCATGGAGGCAGACATGGTGCGGGAGAAGGGGCTGAGATTTCTACATCTTGATCCACAGGCATTAGAAGGAGACTATGTGCCATACTGGGCATAGCTTGAACGTATGAGACCTCAAAGCCTGCCTCCATACAGACACACTTCCTCCAACAAGGCCATACCTCCTAATAGTACCCCTCCCTATGGGCCAAGCATTCAAACACATGAGTCTGTGGGGGCCACTCATTCTAACCCACCACAATTGTTTGTTTGGGGTTTTTTGTTTGTTTGTTTTTGTTTTTGTTTTTTCTAGATAGGGTTTCTCTGTGTATCCCTGGCTGTCCTCGAACTCAGCAATCTACCTGCTTCTGCCTCCCGAGTGCTGGGTGGGATTAAAGCCTCCACCACCTGGCTGTAAAATCAATTTTTAAAAAAGTTATTGCATTTTATTTTGATAAGTAAGTCCATAGGACAGCATATTCTAATTCACTGTAAAAACTGGTGTGCTGGGGCTGGAGAGATGACTCAGAGGTTAAGGGCACTGGCTGCTCTTCCAGAGGACCTGGGTTCAATTCCCAGCAACCACATGGTGGCTCACAAGCATCTGTAATGAGATCTGGTGCCCTCTTCTGGCATTCAGGTATACATGTAGACAGAACACTGTATACATAATAAATAAATAAATAAATCTAAAAAAAACCAAACAAACAAAAAAAAAAAACCTAGCATACTGAGCAAGGAATGTTTTAATTCTTCATAGAAGTTACTCTTTTACATTGCCAGCTATCAGGAGTCTGTCTGCCTTATGGAGCGATTTCTTCCACCAAGTCATCAGCAGTAACATGTTCTACACTTTTTTTCTTTAGTTATCTCTTCAGTTGAACCTGCCACATTCAATTAATTTAGTTCTTTAACTCTTTGGGGTGGTTTTTTTTTCCTCCAGTTTCTGCATTTCCTTTGTTCATCTTGTTAAACACCCTCTGGCTGCCTGCATTTAAACCAAGAGTGCCTCAGGCACCTAAGCACCCAGAAAGCTAGACCATGAATTCTCATGGCAAGTTCTGGCCACCTGGTTATAATCAGTGTTCTGTGTTGTTTTGTTTTTGTTTTTCTCCAGTTTTTGCTTTCTTGGCAGGATCTTGTTACATAACACAGGCTGAGCTGAAGAATACTCTGTAGGCCATATGCAGATTGGAACTCATCTGCCTCAGCCTGGAATGCTGTGATTATAGAAATATGCTGCCAAGTCCAACCATTCCATTTTTCTTATTGTTCTTTTTGAAGCAGGGTCTCATGTAAACTCATGGAAGTCACTATGTATCAGAGGATGACCTTGGATTTCTGATCCTCCAGCTTCCACTTCCAGACTGCTGGGAAGGGATTACAGTTGTGTGCCAGTTTTATGTGATGCTGAGGAATGGAACCCAGGATTTCATGCGTGGTAGACAAGCACTCGACCAACTGAGCCGTATGAGATAAGCTGCTGTGCAGCAGTTTCCTCCCAGATTGAAATACTCCATCACTCAGGAAGCTCTTTCAGACAGAATGCAAACAACATGAAAGAGCTTCAGGAAGTCCCTGAAACTGACCAGATTAACTAGGCTCCTCCTTCCCAGAGAGCCACTCTCAGACAAGCCCAGCCACAAAAAAGACAAGATAAGCAGCCTGACAGAAGCCCACACCAGCTAAGCTGTCAGGAAGAGGTATAGACCCAAGTGTGGGGGGCTGACACTCCGACATGTTGAGCAGCTCGTAGGCTCTGCACTATGCTCCAGGTTTTCCAGCTTTTGTGAGCTGTCGTTCCCCATGCTGGAGAGCTTTATTGATGCAGTGGTCTTTGAATTATTTGTGCTCCTGAAACTCCTCTTCCATATTTCTTTTCTTCTTGTTTTTCGAGACAGGGTTTCTCTGTGTAGTTTTGGTGCCTGTCCTGAATCTCGCTCTGTAGACCAGGCTGGCCTCGAACTCACAGAGATCCACCTGCCTCTGCCTCCCGAGTGCTGGGATTAAAGGCATGGGCCACCACTGGACAGCCTTTTCTCCCATATTTCTTTAAGTAACCACAATTAAACTCATTGTTATACACACTTAGGTCTGTTGTAGGTGTCCTCTCTGGGCTGAGTAGACTTAAATTGTATCTCCCCAGAAAAAGTCAAACAGCACACGGCTATTTCTTGAGCTGGGACAAATGTGATTGGGTTGTGAAAATTAATTATGGTTTATACTTATAGCATGCAACTTTGTATTTCTATGCTACTTCAATAAAATGTTAAACTAAATTCCTAGCCCCTCCACCTACCTCCCACATCCACCTGAGACAGCTAAAAATCTGGTTGCTAGAAAGCAAGCAAGATCACACATGTGCTGATACACTTAAAATTTAGTGTAGTTTTTCCTTAGAATTCACTGGACCACCTCTAATT